TTCTGGCACCAGAGAGTAGTTTGACATTTTGTTTGTTTTCATATTTTTGAAAGTGCCATTATTGACCACGCGATCCAGAGCCTCTGCACTGAGCTCCCGGCCAAGAAATGTTAAAATCCGGTCCAGGACTTCACGGAGGTCCTACAATTACAAGAACCTTCATTACACCCATTCTCTCTGATTTCTGAATGAGCAGTATCTCTTCACTTTACCTCAAGCATTTCTTCGTAGGTGATGTACAGCATTCTGTCGCCGAGCTCAGGGTTTCGCCAGCTTTTCACATGGTCGGCCCATTTTCCGAAACAAACTGTGTAAGCAATTGCAACTTGATCATTTGAGTAGTTATATTTACACTCTCCATCTACACATATCATGTTTGATGCATGTTTATTGTTAAATTCAAAAAACAGTCTGGGTGTTTTTGGGCATGATGCAAAGTGGACCTTAATATGGCAGCAACATCAATATAAAAAAAATACACCAACATTCAATAAGCAGTTACATTTAGTATTTTTACTAGTCACATGAATACTGAATTCACGCAGAATTGATTTTAAACACATATTTGAACGTCTCACCTTTTCCTGACAGGAATTTGTCAATGAATTCTTCAAACGTTCCAGGGTCTCCAAGGAAACTGGCCATTTGATGAAAGTGGAAAGATGAGACTAAAACATCTTTAGGATTCCGAGCGACGTAGATTACCTGAAGATGAAAAACACGATATAACAATGACTTTTTGAAAAAAGACTTGTCTGGACATGCATCTTGATATGAGAGAACAGTGTAAGAAAATGCAAGTATATTTTATATATACAGTACATACAGTATATATTTTGAAAATATTACATGTATATATTTATTGTTCCACATGTTTTATTATTACACAGATATATAACACAGAACAATACAGTGAAGAGGACATTGTCTGCATTTTTTTCTTATTCCCACGTTTAACCCCACTGAATAACGTGAATCAAGACCAAAACTAAAACATTACATAACCTCCCCCCACCCATAAACCCCTCAGGAGGATTGACAAGAAACTGTATTATCTATAATAATACTATATGAGATAAATGCAATAATTTATGAAAAGTATATAATACATGTATATATTTATATTCATATAATTTATATTATATATGAATATATAATATAGGTCTATATTATATTATATATTTAATATATAAACATAACATATTTTTCTTAAA